CTGAAGCCTGCACGGCCCCTTGATCCTGGAGGCCAGCCGCCTTGCCCCCTTCTCTGTGTCTGGGCCCCAGCGGGCCCTCCTCACCCAGGCGGTGGGGTCTCCCCCGGCCTTTGCCCCCACGCTGCCCCCTCGCTGTGCTCTGGGTTGGCTGGAGTTCGGCCCCTCCAGGGCTCTGTGCACCCTTCCCTATTCCTTGGGTTCCCTCTGGCTGGGTGTCCTCCTGCCCTGCATCCTGGCAGCCCCGAGCCATCCAGCTGCTCGTGACCCCATATCAGCTGAGAGTCTGGCCGTGTCCTCCAAGCCTAGTGTCACACAGGGCGGGTGTCCTGTGCCCAGGAGCAGCACCTGACCTGCACGAGTTACACCTCCCTGTGTCGGATCAGCTAGTTCTGACCTGCTGTCCACTCCTTGGCCCTCAGCCCTGACCTGTCCATTCTACGGCTTGCCCCTTCTTTCTGCTGGACAGACAGACTTCTAGAATGTTCAGCCTTTCAACGTTCCCTGCTGAGCCTCGATGGAGCCAAGAGCTTGCCTGTGCTGCCTGGGGCTGGACCTGTGTGTGTCCATCCATCCTGACTCAGCCTGGGAGCCCGAATACCCTAGACAGAGAACGGGGTCACCTGCTTGAGGGTGGTTTGGCCTGGGCAGGGGCCTTGTGGGGTGCACAGGCCGTCCTGTGAGTGAGTGAGCCCCTGGGGGCCAGATTTTTCCTGTGTGTTAAATTGGAGAAGTTAGCGGTTTGAGCTACGTTTTTGAGAGTCCTAAGGAAAATGTTTGAGGGATTTTGCAAAAGTGTCAGTAAAATTCTGTTAATGTTTTTTTAGTTTTGCACAAAAGTGTACTTGCTAGAAGTCAGTGTGCACGTGTTGCCCTATTTGTCCCTTGCCCTGTTGGAGATCCCGGTGGCTTAGCTTGCGCCGTGCAGTTAACGTTCTTGGGCAGTGGTCAGCATAATCCCGTGTTACGTGCCAGCACCTTGTCCGAGTGCACTGGTTAAAGGTTTGCCCGGCTCGGGGTCGTTGTTTTGAGCTCGAGTCTGGCAATGGCTGTCGGCATTTGCGCACTCCGTGTTTACGAGGCAGGCAGGACGTGGCGCCAGGCCCTGGTCCCACACCAGGTGTGGAGCTCCGGGGGATGACTGTCCTTCCTTCATCACAGTACCGCCCTGTCCGGGTCCTTCCCAGAGGCGGTGACCGGTCCTTGGGCCTTCTGCACACGGGGGGGTGGGGGGTGGGGGGTGGCCGATGCTCTTCCCTGGGAGAACACAGACAGCCGGGGGCGGGGTGGGGTGGTTGCGCAGAGGTCATGTGGGGCCAGAGCCTGTATCTGCCGTGTCTCCAAGACGGTCATTAAAATGTCTCCTGCCTTTTAAGAGTGAGCTGTGTCCTCTGTTCCTTGAAACTAGATGTTCTCAGGCAGGGACTTTTCTGCGAGGATGACGTTAAGGGGCCGCAGGACAAGATGGTTCTCAGAAGCTCAGACTGCGTCTCCATCAGACGTCAGCTCAAAAAGGCATTGATCGATGGGCATGCCCACTTCTCCTTCGAGCACTAAGCACTTTGTTTTGGACTCCCAAAGGCTTGCGGAAATGCCAGTGACCCCAGAGTTCAGCTTACGCTTGGAACTAGCAGTTTAATGTTTTATGAGTTTTTTCTTCTTTGCTTCCCCAGAAAGGCTGAGGTTCACCGGAGAAGACATCCCGGTGGGAAGAGTTGGCCGTCCAGGCGCTGGTGTCATGGGTCAGGGCCCTGGGCTCGGCAGGCACATAGGGTCCCTTTCTGCCCCTCGGCATGTGGGGAAGCGGGCAGGGCCATCTGTTGGCTGGTGGTTTGAACAACTCTTTTGGGGCAGTTTGGTCTGGATTCGTGGAAACGTCAGAAAACCACGCTCCTGTGAGGGGCTGGGCCTTCTTGGTGCCTGAGGGCCTCGCCGTTCCTCGCCCTCTGTGCTGCGAGGCCAGGGTCCCCGCCATGGGGCTGGCCCCCTGAGTGTGCCACCAGCCGTTTCTCTGTCCCCGTGGAATTTGTATCCAGAAGTGAGCCCCTCCTGGCGCCTGCTCCCCGGCCCATGCTTTACTTTCCTTTGCAGCTGGGTGGGTGGCTAAATGGGGAGGGTGGTCTGCGCTTCCTGTCTCCCATTTGCTCATCTGCTCAGACACCCTTTGCCTCGAGCCCCCTCCTTGCCCACGTTGGGGTCCCTCCCCCCGGCTCCCTTGCTGTGTGACGGAGCCGTACCCTTGGCGCCCGCGCCGTGCCCTGCATGCCTGTGCCTGGACGTTCCCTCCCGTGCCGGTCATGCCTGTGTGTGTTTGCTTCCCGGCCGTCCTGTGCCCATGGCAGTGGCTGAGTTGTGTGCGCGGACCCGAGTCCCGTTCCCCACGCTCTGCTTTGCGGTGGGGGCGCTGGGGGGAGGCTACACCGGCAGGGCCCCTGCGGAGGTCTGACTCGCTGGTTCAGCGGCGCCCACAGCCCGGGGGACAGCCCCTGTGGCGGCTGTTCCGTGATGTCGGGGCTTTGTCATTCTGGCTCGGCTACGGCTTGACAGGCGGTGACAACAACCTTTTGTGTCACCTTCTCTTGCCCTGCCGGCGTGCAGCTCCACAAGGTTGGCTGGTGTCTCTCGTTCCCTGGGTTTGTGCTGGGCCCACAGAGCTTGTCACTGGGGGAGCCTCTGGCCGCTGATGGTGCTGGGCAAGCCTCCAAGGAGCGTTCGGTGGTGTCCCCTGTTGTACCCTCGGGAGGATTTTACCTTCATTCCTCTTTGGAACAGTTGAGCACAGACCAAGTGTCAGGCCTCAGGGCAGGCCTTGGGGCACAGGGCTGACAACCCTGAGGGTGGAGCTCGTCTCACGGCTGTGGGCAGGGCTGCCCGCCCCGAGCTGGCCCTGTAGGGTCACCTGTCCTCTGGTGTTACTCCTTCCCTTCCTGGTTTCCTGGAAAGCATCTTACCACTGGGAGAAGCAGGTGTTCTTTCTATCTGGGCCCGAGGGCTTTGCTAACCTGGGCTTAGCTCCAGAGCCATGAAAGGTCCAGTCACTTTCCCATGGGGGCCGCCAGACGCACGGGGGTGCTGCCTCTGAGTTGACAGTCTTGTTTCTAGGACACGTCAGGACTGGGCTGTGGGCTCTGGTAGGACACCAGGGGGCTGAGGCCCGGGGGTGCTTTAAGGGCCTGTTTGGTGAGCTGGCAGCCAGCAGACAAGATACAGGCGTCCTGTGTCCCGGCTTGCCCCTCGGCTGCCACCTGCTCTTGGGGGATGGTCTCCCATCTGACCCCCACATGGCTGTGAGGGCATCATGCTGCCACACGGCGGGGTGGGGGGCTTGGCAGACCCCCCCAAGGCTGTCCGCACCAAGCCAGGGCTCAGGGCAGCTTCGGAGCAGCTTGCTTGGACGGCGTGCACAAACGAGGGAATGGGGCCATTTGCATTCGCTTCCCGTGTTGGAGCACGAGTTCTAAGCCCTTGTGAGCTGCCCACCTGAGTTCAGTGATTCTGGGGTCGCTGTCACAGTGCTTGATTATCAGGTTGCTCAATGAAGAGTTTAGATGGAATTAAAACTCAAACTAACCTCTTAATGGGCCTGTTTCAAGTGAACATGCGTGCCTGTTTTTACATGACTGGTCGTGGAGCACCTGGAGGGGCAGGTGTGGTTGGTCAGGTGTGCAGCTGGGTCACACCTCGGTGTGAGACTCTCGGACGGCCAAAAGCAAGTGAGAGCCAGGGGCCCAGCCTGTCATCCGCTCTCTCAGCGTGTGATTCACCTTCACTTGTAAATTAAATAACAAGACCCCATGCTCAGGTGTGGGAGAGAAGAAATGAACATTGTCCGCCGTCCCTGCAGATGAAGGTTTTCTCCAGATCGAGTGGTCGAAACTGAAAGGCTGCGGTCAGAGGCCAGGTGTGGCTGAGCCCCTGGGCGCCCTCCGCGGCCCTCAGTCCGAGCCTGACGCGGTCCCGCCTCCCGCCTCTGTGAGCGCTCCACAGTCCCCTGATGGCACAGTCCAAATGATACTCCGCTTCCCGGGGCTTTTGAGATTGTACGGATTTCCTTTGGAAAGAGGCGCCTTCCCCGCCCTTAGGGGTTAGTTCCGTACTGAGGGTCCTTTCCTAGGATGCCTCCCTTTTGGCAGAACTCCCTTCCCGGGGGGGCTCCCCCGGTCATCGTCCCCTCCATCAGGCCCTGGGGACGGCCACCCCGGGTGTAGACTCGTGAGGCCACGTGGTCTTGGGAGTCAGAGGCTCTTCCCACTCGTGCCGGGTACTGGCTGCCGTTGGCTGTTCGGGAGCACGTGAGAAGCAGAGGGCGGCCCCAGACAGGACTGAGGGACTAAGGGCATTTGGGGGGAAAGCGAGGCAAAGACCAGGCTCTGAAGCTGCTCACGGCCATGCTAGGGAGTTGGGTGTTAGTCCCTGAGTGGTCAGGAGGACGGGGTCGGCCGTCTGAAGGGTCGACCCGGAGGGGGCTGGCCCAAGCAGGACCCACAGGGAAGGTTGGTGTGCGGGGGCTGTGGCCTGTCGTGAGCGGCCACCGAGGGGTGCCCCGGCCCACCGGGGTGCCAGAGTTCCTGCTGGAGGCCAGCCGGGCCGTGTGGGGGGCATGGGCTCCAGCTCGGGGCGGTGGGGGCTCCCCCAGCCCAACTGCACATCTGGCTGGTGTGATCCGGATGGAAGTGCTCGCTGGTAATTTAGCCCATTCAGAAGTGCTTTCTCCCGAAGTGCTGTGTTGCTGACAATTTTTCCCATTGTGTGTGGGGTTGAGCTCCCCCTTCCCCGCTGCCTGCCGTGTTCTGGGATCACCCTGGGTGTCTCTTTGAAATCCAGACACTCCTGAAAAGCTCTAAGTAGCTATTCACCAGTGAGGAAATGGCGGCGTGCCGCTTGCACGTGCGGCTCTATTTCGGGACCTGCATGACGAGCGTGTCCTGGTCCTGGGGGCCACGGCTGGGGTGGCGTCTGCGGGCCTGGCCTCACCGCTCTGCCCTTTCGCCTTTCTTGTGCAGCGCCCGTGGGCTGGAGAAGGCCCGGCAGCAGCTCCAGGAGGAGGTCCGCCAGGCCAGCAGCCAGCTGCTGGAGGAGAGGAAGAAGCGGGAGACGCAGGAGGCCCTGGCGCGGAGACTCCAGAAGCGGGTCCTGCTGCTGACGAAGGTACGGGGCGTGGCGGGGGCGCCCAGGCTGGCCCTGCTCGGGAGGCCTGCCGGCCCGGCCAGCAGCCGCCAGCCCACCCCTGCCACCGTCCAGCTGGAGTGTCTGGTTCCCAGGCACCCGTGGTCGTGAAGATCGCTTCCCAACGCAGGGCACGTAACCACGGTGGTTTGTGTGGTCGACCAGTCAGGCTTGTGTGGGGTTGCCTGGCGTCCCCACCCCAGCCCCCTCCCCGCCACGGAAGAGCGTCCGCTTCCCTGCATCCAAAGCAGAGCCGTGGCAGCTTTCTCAGGCTGCGCTTTTATCCCGGGATGCTCGCGGGCTTCTTGAATCACAGCAAAGACTTCCCCCAACCCCCGTGGTCCCTTTGGGACTCAGAGGGCCCAGGTGTGGGCCCTTCCGGATGGCTGTCCAGTGACCCAGTGCTCCTGGCAAGGGGCAGGGCTGGGGGCTGTGCTGACCTGAGCTCCCTCTTGCAGTCACGGTCTGTCCCGCCCTGGGCTATGGGCGGGGGCGGCCTTCCCTTCCTTCAGTGACCTGCGAGCGCAGGGTGAACGGTGGTGGGTCTGCGACCCGCGGTTTGGAACGAGAACTGTCTCTGGGATACAGATGCCCTGGGCAGAATGTTCTTGTTCCCAGCCTCGTGGCTGGGGCCAGGCTCTCTCTAATCGTCCTGTGCCTGACGAGTTTCCGATGTCTGGCTCGACAGAGTCCGCTGGAGCACAAATTAAGGTTTTCTGTGGGAGCGTGTTACTTAAACATTCCCTTGAGTGCTGAAGTTTCAGAAGACAGGAAGAGAGGCTGATTCTGTCCCTAAACGCTCTCCAGGCAGTTGTGGGGTGTCTAGCTTGCTGGGCAAAGACATCTCTCATCTGCCCTGAACCCGACACTGTGGGCCGAGTGGGCCCATCCCAGGGACTGAGGGTCCGTCTGGGGGATGCCAGGAGTTGTGCCTCATGCTCTTGGCCTCTGGGACCTCCTGCTTATGAAGCTTTGAGGGGACAGGTTATATTTCACCTACGAAAAGCTTGTCATTTCATGGCTTCTCCAGCACATTCCTTGCCATGTTGTCGCTTAAGAGCCTTGGCATCACTCAGGGCCCTGGGTCCAGGGGCTTCCACGTCAGGCTTGGCCGACCTCTGCACACAGGCCCCTGGTGTTGCCTCTGACCTCCTGGCTCTGTGGGTGGTCCCTGCAGGGGAGTCATGCGAAATGCCCTCATGCGCCACCCCCATGGCTGAGCTGGGGCCTGAGGGCTTAGTTTGTGAAAGTCGCGTGCAGGATTTGGGGGAGTGGGCACGAAGGTGCTGCCAGTGCTGCTGGCGTGGGTCCAGACTGCAGGTGGGGGCGGGGGGGGGGCGTGCAGCGGGAATAGGAGGCAGACGGCACGCCTGCCCCAGGGTGCACGTCCATGGCTTGGACGGAGGGTCTGCGTGTGGCCGGGGCATGGGACGTCTGTAGGTGGGGGTCAGGCCAGGCTGCAGTCCCTGACGGGGGGAGCTCGGGCTCTCCTGCGGAGATGAATGGGGGAACCTTCCTCTGTGACCTTGGGGAAGGCGCTCAGTGCCTCTGGGTCCCCGTTTCAGAACAAGCAGGGGTGTCGTGCACTGAAGCAGCCTCATGGGCCAGCCTGACTGGCTCCCGTGTGGACAGTGCTCACGGGGCATGTGAAAGCCATGGAAGGAGGAGACAGGATGGAGGTCCCCGAGCAACTGAAACCTGGGATCACCACACCATCCGGCAAGCCCACCTTGGGCATTTACCCGCAGGAGACGGAATCCGTGTGTGGAACAGGTGTCCCACGTTCAGGCAGCATTGTTCACAGCAGCCCAAGGGCCCGGCGGCAGGGGGGCGGGCAGAGCAGACGGGGCGTAGGCGCACAGTGGGATATCGCTCAGCTATGAAAAAGAAGGAAATCCTGCCATTTGTCACAACCGGGGGGGACCTGGAGGGCATTGTGCCAAGTGCAAGAAGTCAGAAGCGCACATACTGCATGGTTTCCCATGTGGAATCTGAAAACGCTGAAGTCACGGATGCTGGATTGGTGGTTCTGGGGCAGGGGCTGGGGTGGGCAAAATCGGTGGACGTGGTCAGAAGGGACAGACTTCACTTCTAAGATACATCATAGAAGGAAAAATACCAGCCACAGATGTGGTGCGTGCCCGCCACTCCTGGGAGGCTCTGGGTCACCCCGTGCCGCGACTCGGTGACAGCGCCGTGTGCCGCAGGAACCCTCCGAGTCCCTTACACGAAGTGTTCCCCTTCTCAGATCTCCTGTGGGTCACGCAGGTGTGCTCACCGTGTGGCAGGGGAGGGATTCGAGTGCAGAGAAGCAGCTACTGCGCACGGGGCCAGTGGGTCCTATGTTCACGCTGAGTGAGTCCCTCTGGGAAGATCTGCCTGTTGGCTGTCAGCAGGTATGAGAAGAACCTTCCTGTCAGCACAGCGCAGCCTCCATTTCGGTGGGTGTGTGAGCGAGCACCACACCGGGGGGCCGGCCGCTGCGAGCCTTCTCTGTTGGCCAAGGTCACTTGGGTTCTAGTGATTAGAATCCCCGTGGGAGATCCCTGTCGAACCCGCGCCTCGCGACGGGAGCTAGTGGGTGTGACCCCCCACCTGCGGACCTCGGGGCCCTCCGTGCCCAGACTGCACCCCACCTGTGTGAGGTTTTGGCCTGGCTGCCTTGTTGGGCATTTTCTGCCCCACAAGGTGACTGTCTGGGTCCCGAGGCAGGAAATTTCCATTCTCCGTGTCTCAGCAGGTTGGAAGCCGATGGCCCTTCCCGGCCTCATTCCGTCCCCACGCTGACCTGCGGCGCTCACGGGCCTTGCTGAGTTCGGGAGAGAGTGGGTATTGATTGCCTGGCCCTGACTGATGCGTTGACTGTTGCTCGAAGGCACATTCCTGTTGGGTCGATAGCAGTCTCCCGCGCTGCCCTGGGTCCGGCTTGCAGGGGCCCGGCTCACCAGCCAGTGGGGTGATGAAGCTGTTCATCAGGCCTGTCTGTGTGTGTGGGGGTGCCAGGTGCACGCCCACTGTGTGTCCACGCTCGTGGTGACCCTGCGAGCTCCGAGGCCTGTTGGTCAGACACCAGCCGGGCCTGCTCCTGTTCAGGTGCTTCCTCCTCAGGGCACCTCCAAGGTGGCTGTTCTTGGGGCTCAAGGGAGTTTGGTCGCTGGTCTTCCCCTCTCCTTGCTGAGGAGAGACCCACCTCTGTGGGGCAGAGCCGTGTGTACAGCACCCCCGCCCCCGCCGCGGCTCTGCGCCAGGCCGACCGCAGGCCTGCTGGCTGGGCTCTGGGCGCCTGTGTCCCGTCGAGGGCCCTGTTTGTGTGCTTGACCTTTCCACGTTCAGTGCTTGGAGTGTGCGGTTTTATTTTGAGACCTTATTAAGCGGCTCTAGTCTAAGGGTGTAATTGTTACTGATAGCTGAGGGTGTAATCACCTTGGTAAAATACCATGACTATTTTAAGCAATTGAAAATTGGCTTCCAGAACTGGGTGAACACAAACCATTTTCCTATTTGAAATGAGCTATTTCCAGTGTGCCCCTGATATTCCACAGTACGGTTATAGAATTTTGTTATTTATAGAACCTCAGCAGTGAAAGCTAACTTTTAGCAAGCGATTAAAAAAACAAATGAAAGTAAAAGCTTCCCTTAACTCTTCTTTCTATATCCTAACTGTTCCCCATCCCAAATTCCAGAATGCAGTGGTGTCTGAGAGGAGGACGCAGGTCACAGGTGTCTTACTGACCGCCTTGGGGATCGGAGCGCGTGGTTTGATAGTGGTGATGTCCCTCCCTTGAAAGATCCCTGAGTGGGATGGCGGTCCTCATGGGGGGGGGGGGGGGGGGGGGGGGTCCCAGTTGGGGGGCGGGCAGGTGGCCTCCTTTGCGTCGGGCATGCCAGGGTGTGGTTGCTGGCCGGCAGAGGATGTGCACCCCACCCAGCATCAGTGGGACTGCAGGCTGTTTTGCGGACACCCGCCCCGTGGGTGCCCCTGGATCTGTGCCAGAACCTTGTGGCTCTGGCTTCAGTTGTGCCGCGGTGGGCTGCAGGCGTGCCACACTGCTGTTTGGGTCTGCTAGTGCTCAGCAAGGTGGGCCCTCCCCGTGCGGGGGTTTACAGGCAGCTTGCCCTTCTCTCCTGGGGCTCTGTCCGTATTCCGACCACGAATCTCTAGCTGGAGACATGTGCGCTCTGGTCTGCAGTTTGCTTCCTCCATCTCGTGTCTGTTGATGAGCAGCAGCTCCTAGTGAGTGCAGAGCGGCTTACAGATGCTCTTACCATTGTGTCAGCGCTGTCTGAGCCTTCGTGACCCGGGTGGGCACAGTTGTTGCTACCAAAGTCATGGAGACAGTTAGCGGCTCTCCTCTGACTGCTTTATTGTCTCGCCTTTTACGGATTGATGTTCGGGTGTGACAGGTGGTAGGTGTCAGGTTCGTTTCCCCCAGATGTCACCTGGATTTGCACTGGTGGTCATCTTGCCACATGGGCAAACACCCAGTCGTTACGTTGTATGCCTCAAACTAATGCTACGTGTCAGTTACACCTCACTTGAAATTCTCAGAAAGATTATTTTTTTCTCTGTTGAACATGTAGTTGGCCCAGCACCATCTATTGAGAGATCAGCCCTTTCCCGTGGAGTGTCTCAGGGCCCTTGCCACCTGCCACGGGCTGTTCCGGGCAGTCCAGTGCCTGGGTTCTCCGTTCGGTTCCGTTGCCTCCTGTTGTCTGTCTTTTTACCCTGCCACCTTGTCTTCAGTGTTACAGCCTTATGACGCGTCCACTCGTAGCCAGCCTTCACGTTGGTTCTTCGTTAAGATTCTTTGGCTCATTGTGGTTCTTTGCATATCCTCATACGTTTCAGAATCCATTTGTCCATTTACGCGAAAAACTCTGCTGGAATATGGTAAGGATTACAGTGACTTTGTAAATCAGTTTGGGAAGACGTGACATTTGCCCATTGTCTTCTGAACGAGAACATCACCTGTTAGTTAGAT